CGCGTCGAGCGACTCGAAAAGAAGCTTGCCGAGGTCAGCCAGAGGCGCCAGTCGTCCATCACAATGTCCGACTCGGACGCCCAGGCAACTCCACGTCCCATCGGCACCCCGGAAATTCAAAATCGCAAGCCCAACGTGTCCGAGGTCAAGGCGGCGCGTCGAAAAGAAGAGGCAGATATAAACGATCTGGTATCAGACTTCGGCTTGCTGTATGTCTTGTCCCGTCTTGCGCGTCCTGTCTGACCGCTGTAGATCCGTCAACGCGACGGCCCGCGACTTTTATGGCTTCACGTCCGCCATGTCTTATGCTCGTCTCATTCTTTCTGCTTCGTCAAAGGAAGAGCTGCCCGCCGGCATGACCAAACCCCTCCCACCGAGATACGCCGTTTCCCCTCTGATTCAACACTACCTCGATACCATTCACGTCCTTTTGCCGTTTTTCGAAGAAACCACCTTTTACCGCTCCGTCGATGCCGTCTTTAGCACCGATCAACGAAAAGCCACCTCGTGGGACCACTGGACCCTGCGCATGGTGCTCGCCATATCCTCCATTTCCTTTTCCGAGCAACGGGGAGACGTTCACTATACGGATGCCCTCGGCCACGTAAATGCCGCTCTCGAACATTCCGAACACGTCCTTCGCCCTGGTTCTGTCGCCAGCATCCAGGCACTACTACTCCTCACCCAGTATGCCATGCTGGACCCTCACCATTTTGACAGCTGGACCCTGATTGGCGCCGCCTCTCGGACCATGGTAGACCTTGGCATGCACCAAGACCCTTCAAAAAGTGCCGCCGTCTCCAAGGCAAAACTGGAGCTGCGCAGGCGCGTCTTCCACTGCCTCTACGCCATGGATAGGTATGTTGCATCTTTCGTTTGTCGTCGTAGCTAACAATTTGCAGAGAGACCTCCCTCGTCCAAACGCGAGCCTTTTCCTTCTCCGACGACTCGGCAAACGTCGCCTTTCCGTTTCAAAATGGAACATCCCCAAAGCATTCGGAAGAAAACCAGTGGATCCCGTCCTTTGACTCTGCACTCGATCTTTTCCGCCTTCGCCAGCTACAATCCGACTGGTACACGACACTTTTCCAATCTGGCCGAGAAGCGTGGCAAGATCCCTATCCCGAAATATGGCGAGTATACAATTCCATGGCGGCATGGTTTAGCAAAGCCTCACGCAACGCCTCGCCAGCAGTACGAGATTTTTTCGAGCTTGAATTGCTTTACAGTTACGTATACATTTTATCCCAGAGTCCGAAATGTCCGCGCGTAAGCGAGTACGCACAACACCTGATATTCGAGCACTGCGTGTCGTACGCATCGAAGTTGCTCGCCATCTTATCGGAAGAGTCATCCAAGGATAGGCCACCCATTACTTTTTATGACGCAATGAGGGTTTACATAACTGGAAGACATTTTGTCGATGTTCTTTCGAACAATCAGGAATCGCTCCTTTCGGGGCGTCCGCCATCACAAGGGGCTTACTCGTCCATGTCAGAAGAATCGATAGATCCACACGCTCAGGGGTCTGACGTGTTACCGCCAGCTTTTCCAGGCGCCCCAGGCTCCAAAAACCAAGCGGCTCGCGCCGTAGCCGCGATTAATAACTTCACCGCCATCTTGTCGCAATTCGGCCTGCGATTTGGCTACGCCAACTGGCGAGACCGATTTCAACAAGATTCTTCCGCCTTATCAAACCACCTATACATGGTCAATCACCATCAACAAGAGCGAGGATATTCGGGATGGGACGGCACCGAGGCGAGCACGTCTCCGTACAGCTACTTTGACGTTGGATCTTCGCCCCCACCGACTACGCAGCCCTATGGGTTTTCCGAGGCGCGGCCGTTTCCACAGACCACTGAGTGGCCAAGCTCACGACCTGGCTCCAACCGGCGGATTTACACGATTGGACAACCCCCGGTCCCCCTGCCAGTGACGACGGCCTTACCGGTGACCGGAGACATGGGCCAGGGAACAGCTTGGGAGACATTGCCGGGCGGCAGTTTGAACGCGAGATTCTCGTGACTTGACGAATAATGATGATGGCATGTAGAAATGAGCAAAAGTAATCTACTGTATTTTCACGTGTTGAACATGCGGGGAAGTCTGTCCAGAGTTGAAACGAGCTTGACCAACCCTGCGTCCAAGGCTTGGTTGCAGCGTGGCACCCATGATGATTGCTGTGGTCAGTCAAGGAGCTTTCATACACTTCAATAGAGACGGATAGAGAGCAGAGACGATGGGGGCATACGAGCCCCAGTTTGGAACCTCCGTGGTGTGCCACGACTTTTATGTGGTTTCTCAGCGGAGTGGACCTATAGTGGCTTGGTGGCTCGTGCATAGGGCGGTGCAGATCGCGGACCCTTGCTGGCCGCGGCCTCGGTCGCAGCACCACCGTCATGGCCTCCCGACCTCCGTCACTACCGGTGCCTGAGCTGTCTTCAGTTGTCAACAACTTGTCCACGCACTGTGCATACGTCGAATCCGGCCATGCCCACTTGAATCCCCGAATCGAATCGCGAGTCCCACATCTGCCGGCATACAGGAGCTACGTTGCAGAGCCGCAAACATGCTCAGAAATCGCCAGTTGCAACATGGCCTTTTCATCTCGACACATTCTGCGCTGCTACTGCTGTTGGCTGCGCTCGCTCTATTCACTCATGTAGCCGTCGCGGCGACTAATACACGCCAAATCACGCCCAAGAAGATACCACAGCAGCCCATGAAGGGAACGGAGCACTCTCGGGCCAAGGACGCATGTCCAGACTACGTCAAGTACTCTGCACATCCTCAGTATGTGCCACCTGTGCTCAATCGAGCTTGATGCTAACGTACCAAGTGGTCCGTACACCGATGGTCCCATGGGACTGCCATTCCAGCGACCCGCCCCTGCTTGTCGCACCTTCAAGTCGCCACTGGTCGAGGAAGTGATTGAGGAGATGAAGAAGAGAATGGTGGATAAAGACCTGGCCCGCATTTTCGAAAACGCTTTCCCAAACACTCTCGATACAACTGTGAGGTGGCATGTTGATGGGTCGCAAAAAATAAAAGAGAAGCCAGGAAAAGGCAAGGGACTTTGGATTGGACCTCAGAGTTTCATCGTCACTGGAGACATCAATGCTGAATGGCTGCGCGATTCCACAAACCAGCTCGCACAATATCAGAAATTGGCCAAAAAAGACAGCGCTATCAGGACTCTGATCCTCGGAGCAATCAACACGCAGGCCGAATTTGTAATTGGTTCGCCGTATTGCAATGCTTTCCAACCTCCGCCTCCATCAAAGCTCTCCAAATCCAACAATGGCATGGATGACGAGGTACACCCAGCTTACGAACCATCTTTTGTGTTTGAATGCAAATACGAGCTAGACTCTTTGGCGCACTTTCTCTCCTTGACCAATCAATTTTACGAGCATACCAGCAACTCGGAATTCCTCACTCCTCGATGGTACAAGGCAATCGAGACGCTGCTCGATGTCATCAAGGAACAATCTCGACCGACGTTTGACAGCAAGGGTGACTACAAGCGCAACTCGTACACCTTTCAGCGCGACACTCGAGCCGGCACCGAGACCCTGAGTCTGTCGGGCGTCGGAAATCCCTTAAATGGCGGCACAGGTCTTGTCCGCAGCGCCTTTCGCCCAAGCGACGATGCCACAATTCTCGGCTTCCTCATTCCAGCCAACGCCATGATGGCCGTCGAATTGCGACGCTCGGCCGCCATGCTGCGCAAAGTCGGCGGCAGCAAAGCAACCGAGTTAGCCAAAAAGCTGCAGTCGCACAGCGAGACGATAGAAGGCGGCATCTGGGAGCACGGCGTGGTGCCGCACAAGAAATACGGCCACGTCTTCGCATTCGAAGTCGACGGCTACGGCTCCTCCATCATGATGGACGACGCAAACCTGCCGTCGCTGCTGGCGCTGCCCTTGCTCGGCTTCGTCGACGCCGAGGACGAGACGTACCAGAACACGCGCAGAATGATTCTCGAGAAGACGGGTAACCCGTACTTTTTGAAGGGAAAGAGCTTCCAGGGCATCGGCGGCCCGCACATTGGCCTGCAGAACGCGTGGCCCATGAGCTTGCTGGTCCAAGCCATGACGAGCAACGATGACGATGAAATCACGAATGCCATTTCTTACGTCCGAAATGGCAGCCGTTTGGGCCTGGTGCATGAGAGTGTCGATGTCAATTTCATCAAGACATATACGCGTGAGTTTGTTCCCTTTGTCGTTGGACTGTGGCTAATCAGTTGGACAGGCTCGTGGTTCGCGTGGGCCAATTCCGTCTTTGCCCAGACCATTCTCGATCTTGCGGAGCGCAAGCCGCACCTCCTGTTTGGAGAGGACGCCAAGCCGTACACCATCAAATAAGTCGCGTTGCATCTTTCGGGAACAGAACAGACGACGACATGAGTTTGTTTAGACGGCGTTTGGCGGTAGGTCGATTGAGGCGTTTCCGGACTTGTTTCGTGTTCCTATCTGTCTGTCTGATGGCATTGTTGCTCGACGTGTTTGTTTGCGCTGGTATGTGGAAGCGATAAAATGTTACAAATGACAACAATACAGGCTGTCTAGATCCCCTGAGTGCGACCTGTGTTGAGTGCTCCTTGTACGCAATTTGATGTGCCTGATCGCGGTGCTTGTCAGCTTCCTGTCTGCAACACTTCTCCCGCAATGTCTTCAAACAATTTGTGATCTACTCTGCTCCTGTTTTCGTTGTTCAGAGTACGTTTCTCCCGCGCTGTTTCGTCTCGGGCTTTCCTTTTCCACAAACGACAGCAAGCCCTTCTCAATAAGCATCCAAACCAGCACAATACTGTGCTCACCTCCTGTAACCAGCAGCACATCTCTCCCACCCATCTCCACACCCCCAAACCACCCACCGATGCCTCCTCACCACTCCCATCCCTCCCTCCCCTGCGCCACAGCACCAGCCACACCATATGCATGGCCAGCAAAACAGTTTCCGAACACCGGTCGACGACCAGCAAAACAGATTGCCCACTCTCGGAATCGAACCGAGGATCTATTCATAGGACGCGCTGTACGAGTGAATCGCTTTACCACTGAGCCAAGCGGGCAATGTTGTGATATTCATGATCAAGAGCGAGATCTGAAGCAATATATACATGTAAAAAAATTATTCCTGCCGCCGATGTCGTTCATCCCAGTATCCCTGGAGATACTTCATCTCCAAAAAATTCATGTCATGACCATATCTAATCGAATTCACCTCCTCCATATGCTGTGCCGCCTTCCTCTTCCGAACACGAGACTTTTCTTCTTCTTCTTCTTCTTCATCTCGCTCCTTCCTCTTCCGGATGTCTATGAGTTGTAAGGGGGTGGGCGGAAAAATTGGTGTCGCTGGGCGAATGTAGGGGTCGAGTTTCAACCATGCTGCTCGGCGTGCTGATGCAATGCACCGCCAGTTTTCGATTTCCTGGTCGGAAATTCCTGCATTTTTCATGAATGCAATTGGATCTGTGATCTGTTCTTTCAATGTGCGCTTGGTTTCTCGTTCATGTTCTATGCGCTGGGCGGACCATGCGCGGCGCGCATTGTACGCGCGTGTCGCCATTCGCTCACGCCGAATCTGTGCTCGAAGCTCCGAATCGACCACGACGGCTTCCCCATTGAACTTGAAATCCTCTTTCAACGGTATGCGCGCATTTGTCGGTAGCCATTCCAGGCCAATTTCGTACCATGGGCAGAATTTCCTAAAAATTTCTCGTGTAGAGCCGGGCTTGTCGGGCAAATATGAGCCCATCATCGTCTGTATGAAGGTTTCATGGAGCAAGCATGACAGTCTCATGTCGATGATTGACTCTGGTTCACCGTCTTCTAGGCCCTTGTATGCTCCTGTTTGCACGATTTCTGCATAGCGCGCCACCGCGGGATCATCCATCAAGTTGTATAGCAGCGAGTGGCCCTTGTGACATGCGCGGTATCTCGGGTCCAAATGCTGCTGGGTCCTGCCTTTCAAACGCGTGTCGAGCCCTGTTGCCGAACCATTGTAACTATGACTTGAACGGCCCTGTGCACGAAGGTGGACGAAATAGGTGCCGAATTCAGACGAAAGTAGCGCATTTGGCAGAGTACGAAGAAGTTCCCAGGAAGGTGCGTCATTGTGATTGAGAATTTCTTTCATTTTCGGCAGAGTCATTTCCTCGAGAGCATCGATCCAGAATTCAAGTTGCACGGCGTGGAGAAGTTGGTAGATGACGAGATTGAAGTGTATGACCGGTAGCTGGTAGACTTGAGACACGAATTCGCGAACACGCTGCTGATACACAGGAAAAGACATGGTGGCGCTTGCGGAGAACGAGGTGCGACTGAGGATCGAACGGTGGTCTGGTTAGCTCAAGGTTGCAGAGTCTGGAGAGATTCGAATTCGAATTCGAATTCGATTGTGGGTGGGCACCCAGCGTGAGGAAGGAGCGTCCCAATGCGGTAATCGCCTAATCCTTGTCCAGCCTCACCTCACTACCATCTACTTGGGAGCATTCGAGAGCCAATTCACAGCTTCAACGAACAGGGAACATTCTTTGGCAAGCCTGCGGCTTCAACGAGCAAGGAGCGTTCGGTAACAATACTGCATCTCCAATGGACAGACTGGGAGCATTCAAGACCTGTCGCGCGTACACTGCAGACTTCGAGGATATCTGTATTAAGCTTTTATGTACCACATCAAGACCATATGTATAGCTGTGGACAATATCTAGCGCACACCCGAAAAGCACGCACGTAATAATGCTACCATGGAACCCCGCATTGAAAGACGAACAAGTATCCTCCCCAATCGCAATCTGAGGGTGTGGGATATACATGAGTGCTCCTATGAAACGAAAGGTAGACAGCCTATAGGGCGAAAGGATGAGAGTAGGAGAAAGGGGTAGAGTCGCGAGAAGCGTCTTTCCAGGCAGAAGCTCATCTTGCGACGGCGAGAAGAATGAGGATGACCAGCAGCCCGCGGCATGTTATGCACTTGTCTCGTCCACCTCGCGCATCTCGTCGCGCCGGGTGTCGACGAAGCCTTGGTCCGTCTCCAGCTCGCGGTCCATGGAGTAGGCCTTGACGAAGATGATGGTGAGGATGCCGGCGAGAGCTCCCAGGCTGCACATGACGATCCAAAGCACGTGGAGTGCGGTGATGTATGCGTCGATGAGGTCGTGGCGCACGGCGGCCATGCTGGGGTCGCCGCGCATGGCCTTGACCACGCTGACCAGCGTCGTCGCGTCCTTGCTGTACTCGGCCGCCTTGGCCGCCACGGCGGGGATGGCGGATGCGAGAAGCTTCTTCTTGACTTGGTTTTGCACCACCGTTCCACCGACTGCGACGCCCAGCGTCTGCCCAAAGTTGCGGAAGAAGGGGTTGAGGGCTGCCGCTGCGGCGACGTCACCTTTGACTGCAGCTGCTTGGTTGCAGAGACTCATGGCTGGGTAGAGGAAACCCAAGCCCATGCCCGAGATGAGTGCCAGCGGAATCCATTCGCGAGCCGGCGTGTGTTCTTTGTACAGGATGAGGAGCCCGCTGCCGACGGTGGTGGTGAACCAACCAAAGTACATGGCCCAACGGTAGCGACCCGTCTTTGCAATGAGAATGCCGGCAACGACGGCGGCCGGAGCTGTTGTAAAGGTCCAGGGGAAGAGCGCAATACCCGACGTCGTAGGCGACATGGACTTGGCGGCCTGAAAGTAGAGTGGCATGTAGTAGAGAGCAGACCACAGCATCATACCGTGGATGACGATGCTAAGGTAGCAGACGAGTGCCGTGACATTTTTGAACAGGGTGCCGCGGAGGATGGGCTCGGTCGGGATGTACTTTGAGTAGACGATGAAAACGAACAGACCGCAGATTCCGACGAGGAGGGGAACAAGAGTGCGCCAGTGGTCCCACGGGTACATGACACCGCCCTAGATGGTCAGTTGACGTTTCAAACACAGGAGCTCGTACGTACCCATGTGATGGGAATCAGAGTCGACGTCGTCGAAGCCACAAACAAGAATGAGCCGATCCAGTCAATCTGTTTGAGTTTCTGAGCAAAATTGCCTGGCTTGTACTGCAGCTTCAAAAAGAGCGGAATCATGACGTATCCAATGGCGCAAAAAGGAACGTTGATCCAAAAGATCCATCGCTGTCCAATGTTAGCTTGCCGTTTCTCTTCTGTTCGATGATACTCACCCATGAGACCTTCTCTGCCAGCACTCCTCCAATGACGGGGCCAATCACACTTCCAATAGCCCACATCATGGTCACTAGACCAAGCCATTTGCCCCTCTCCTTCAGTGGGACCATGTCAGTGATGATGACACCTGTCAAGGCGGCAATTCCACCTCCTCCAATACCCTGTATCACCCTGCTGGTCAAGAGGGCCGTAAAGTCATTGGATACGGCACCGGCGATGGCGCCGACGGTGAAGAATGTGAGGGCAATGAGGAGGAGGGGTTTTCGGCCAAAGACATGAGAGAGCGAGGCAAAGCTCGGCTGAAAAACTGTTGCCGTGAGAAGAAAAGACGTGCCCGTCCAAAAGGCTTCGATTCCGGTTCCATGGAGGGCATCGGACATGACCTGAGAAGTTAGCTATATCCAGAAGGTTTCAAAGATAACTTACAGGAAGTGCCACCGAAATCGAAGTAGCATCAAGAGCGCATATCAAGTTGACAATACAAAGACAAATGAAAGCAGCTAGGAACCGCCAGCCAGGCTTAAAGTCCTCTGGTGGGGTTGTACTGGCACTTTTCAGAGTTGTCAGATCAGATAGCCCAGAAGATTTTTGTGAGTCGTTGCGGTTCAGGGCAGCATTGCTGAAACTGTTGCGCCCCGACCCGAGCTGGGACATTTCAGTGCAGGATGTCTTTGGATCACAAGGAGTGATGTCTGCCTGCGGACGAGAGTCCATCGTGGGTGACGAGAGGAGAGTGACTGAGGGCAGAAGGACGGCTGCTGTGGGATCAGAAGGAGGGAACTGACCGAGCCATAGATATAACTTCTTTGCAAGTAAACCGTCTGCTACGGCATTGGGAGGACGAATCAATCAATGCAGGGGAGTGGGTCTTGCAGCCAGGGAGTAAAAAAGGAATTTCAATCCGGGCATGCTTGACAAGACGTCTCATAACGGCTGGATTGTTGTCCTAGCACATGTCCCAAAACGTCACACGAGGCAGCCTTCCGGAATGGCTTGCAGTAGTTTTTCAGGACCAACGGCGTCGCGGACGGGATCTGACTTGGCTCTAGCCCAGCTTTTGGGTTGTACCGCCTCGAACTGGCACCATTGGCTCGGCAAGTCTTCGTCCTGGTTCTGGCGGCCCTGTCGGACGGCTGCAGGCGGGAACCTTATAGCTTAGCATGCTGACTGCGCACTCAAGTTTGACGCCTATGTGATGCGCTGGACGACGATTGATGCGAGACGGAGAATCGCCCTGGCAACCTCGTCGAGGCGAGAGCTGGCGAGCGGAGGTGGCCATCGGGAACAATCGGCAAAGTCGAGCCGTCGCCTGCGCTTGTCTGAATGTTTGCATCGTCGCGATGAGATGACCCAGGAGGGCGAGAGGTGGGTTGGTGTTGACAGGGGATGCCAGCGGCTACAGGGCGCCGAGGCTGAGATAAACGACGACGCCTCTCGTAGCTCGACCCCGACCCTCAACCTCCAACATCCAACCCACTCCAATTCAGCTCGGCGCTTTCCGCGCTTCGTGTCTGCGTTTCGACAGAGTATACGTGCCGATGCCGTCACGACGCAGCTAGCGGCAGCTTCAAGACGCGCCGGCTGAAATTCGTCAGCCTGCCCACACCACAAACGAAATCGCGGCCCGTCGATCAAGCTCATGCATGGACCGGCTTCGCGACCTCACATCTGTGGCTTGCCTGGCTCGGCGACTCTACAGCATCTTGCTAGCTACGCATCAAACATGTTCCCCTCTTCATGCGGCACCTTTACATGGACGGCCTTGGCTATGACGACTGCTCTGGCTGTGCAAACCTACCGCTTGAGAGACTTCATCTCTCGCATGCATCTGCAATCCTGCTCGACTGCAGATCATCTCAACAAAGATCCGTTGAAGAATAGGCAAGCAATCGGTGG